TTAATTGCTAAGGTGTTACTGGCAGCAGCAAACAGCCAAACAGAAAACAATTTGAGCTGTGTTTCTGGATGTACTGTATTACAGAAAAGGGAGATAATATTCCATCATTATATTGCTCTAATACATCTTTCCAGCAAAGTGATGTTCTCTTTGGACCCACAAACCACATGACTGGAAAGGTACTAACAGCGGAATTTGGTGAAACCAAGTGTGGTAGAAAATTTAACTTCTTAAAAATGATCAAAATACAGGATTTAGGACAACTTGATAAAGGGGCTAGCAGGAATTCAGGAATACAAAGTCCTTTGAGAATTGAAGGATTTTAATTACATGAGTGAAACAGAGCAGCTGCACATGGAACTACAAGTAGGATTAGCTCAACGTAGCTCAGAGCTCAGCAGCAAAGGAGAGGTGATGACAATGAGCTCTTTTGCATTGTAGAATAGTCTTGCTTTGGAAGCAGTATTGAACTTGTGCTGAACTTGTGGGAAAAATCATTGTTCTTGGTAGTTTTATATTCAATTTGACGTTAGCAAGGTAAGAATTCAGAGCGAAAAAGCTTTTACATCTCTTACCTGTCAGTTTCAAATTCTTTAGTGTTAGTTAGCCAATATATAGTAAATATGTGCTGTTTTGCTCTGTGGGTTGCAATGAAAATCAGTCCCCAAATACAGCTGTTGTTTCCTCATTATTCCACATGAAGGATAATTAACAGTGAGTTAATTCAAAGTTTTGGAAAACTCTAGGATTGCATTTGTCAGACATGTAGGTTAAAGCTTGGGCTTTCTTCACGGATGTGCACAGATGAGTAGTTTGTTCACATGCTCCTGATCCGTTTTCCTCACCTTTCTACTCTTTGAAAGTGTGTAGGTAATTGTGCTGGAGACAGTGAAGGACTCTGTGGGACCAAAAGGACATGCTTGTCATAAAGCTGTACGTTGCCTTCTCATACTGTCACTCCCTCAGGTGATGGAGACTGGAACAAAGGCAGCCAGTATTTTCATCTGATTTTTTTTTGAGGAGGATTATCTATCCAGTTTGTTGAAGATCTTTTTATCAGGGAAGAAACAATAGTTTATTCCTGCATAGGGCAAGTCTTTCCTCTTGCCTAAAAAAACCGTAAAAGATTATTGAAACCATGTGATTGCTTTTGTGTCTTTTTGTATGTCAAAGATGCAGTCTGTTGCAGATCAGAAGTCAAATTCTCAAGGAGACTACTTCTGAAATGCTTAGTGATACAAATGATAATACCCTGTTGCTGCAGTAACAGTAATTCAAGGCTACCACTGCAGCTAAAATAACCGATGAGTAGTGTGGGCAGCCTAATGAAGTAGTAGCAACTTGAACAATTGGAATTTCCATTACTTGTTTCCTTCCACCTTAATTTAGCATTGACACGGGCGGTTTTTATTTCATTCACTTACTGGCTGTGCGCTCCCAGGCATGCAGTTGTAGCTTTCCTAAAGTCAGTTCACTGTAATACAACATGGTCTCCTAGCATATGTGAATTGTTTCTGCTAGTGTGACATCTCTGGCGTAGCTGTTGAAGGACAGCTCTGCGCCGGCTCCGAGGCATTTGCTGGAGGCGCAGCCCTCCCTGCCCGCAGAGCCTGGCACTCACCCAGCCTTCCCACAACTGTGCCTGTCACTCAGCTGGAGACAGCTTGGGAGGACCTGGGGAGCTCTGGACAATTCTCTGTTTTGATATCTGTAGAGAAAATGTCACCCTGCTCCTGGAGTTGTGTTTTCTTTTCTTTTTTAGTTAAGTGTCACTTCTAACACCAGTGACCTCATCTGACTCAGCAGAGCTTCTGTCTGAAAGGCGGGAGCTATGAGCAGGTCACAGCTTTTGACACAACTCGGGAATGTGGGCACACCAAGAGAAACAAAATACTGTTATTTCAGCAAACTAAAAATGATTTTTGGAACAGTCTAACAGACAGTTATGTAAAACAACTAAAACCTAATCTAAATATCACAAGCTTCTGCAAATGAGGGGATTGTCTAGTATGTGCATAGGGTTTATTTTATCCTCAGGTTTCCCAGGAGGTTTTGCTGAGGTTTGTGCTGGTAGCTGTGATGGCACTGTACCTGCCACACCAGTCCTGCTCCTGGGTTTGCTCTGGATGGTTGACATGGTGAGAACACCTGTAGCTCTCACCTTTGAAAACTGGACAGGGTTGAAATAGTCATCTGAGTGGATCACCAACTTTGTTATTTAGAGGTTGATTGTGTTAAAAGTCTGTAGAAGGCAATCAAGACCTATGCTAAAAGCGCCCCCAGAAAATGAAGCCATGACTATGGCATGAGCTTCTTTACTGTTTGCTCTTTGTTGGTAGGCACAGAGCTTTCTCTGGGCATAGAGGAAACAAACACAGGAGGGAAAGGGCTTGGAGAGGCCTGGAGAAAGAAAACTGTGGAATATTGTTGCTTCAAAATACACCTGGTAGTGATAGTGTTGGCGAAAAAGCTGTGCTCGTGTTGTGTTGAAGGGGAGTGTTGGCCAGGGCAATGACATATCCTCTACGCTTTCTAAAAGGGCCAGTCTATACTGAATGTTCGTGCAGACACGGACAGAAACCAAAGGCATAGGAACAAGTGACCTCAGGTTAACATTTCATTCAAATGACTGAGCCCCTAATGAGGTTACTGCTCTAGTTTCCTAGTACACCACCCAGCCTGAAGGATTGCACAGAACCTTTCAGATGTCCAAAACTGATAAGCAAATGGCATATTACACATCTCAAAGTAGGACAGAAGTACATTTGTTTGATTAAACAGAATCTTTTCTTTCTCAATGCTTAGCTCTGTTCAGCTTACTGTGCAGTTTTAGTCTGTTCTGGGTTTTGCTTCTCATAACATGCATAGAATTCACAGCCCATAAAAATGCAACCTCTCCTAATACTTTTTTGTGTGATACCATCTTTATTAGTGAACCAATTGCTTACTGTGTTTATCTTACTCCTGGTCTTATTCCGTTCTCCCGGACCCTTGAAATGGAGCCAGGCAAGGGCACTAAAAACTAGCAGTGAATTCCTAGGAAAAGGACAGGTATAGTGCAATGAGAAGTTACCCGCAGTCTTTTGTGTGTGCACACGTCCTTAACAAAAAAGGATAAAATCTAATAGTAATGTTCAGAAAGAGACCTACTAGAAAACTGGCAGGCCTGAGAACCCTACCATTTGAAGTGCAACAAATCAGTTTTGTCTTCCCTCAAAGTCATCTTCCAAACATCACTGCTTCTGGATGCATATAGGGTAGCTTACAAATTTTACAATGTAGATGTTCCCTAGAGGTATTTGTGAGACATGAGAAACTTTTTTTTTTTTTAATTCATTCTGAGTTTTGTCTTGCTGTTTGCTCTGGTTTTGGTTTGGGCCAGTTTTACTGGCTTAGTGTATCTTTCATTGAAATCCATGTGAACTGCTGTGGTTTAATTTGGACCTCTGACTAAAAAATGCAGTTATGTGGTTTAGTCTAGTGTTTATGCAAAGCGTAATTATTGCTTTGTACAAATGGCTTTTCTGTCACTGTGAATACTAAGCAGATGCTTATATTGCCTTATGGTTTTGAAAAATTATTGACCAACCTTTTGGATAACGACTGAGGCCCTGGCAGTGTTTCTTCTGTGCCATACCACCACCAATTTTTTTTTCATGTTTTAAGGTAGATACATGGGCCCAGTGACCAATTATCAACATTCAAACTGAGCTACCTCACTCTAGTGCGTTTTGTGGGCTTGGTTGTCTTTTTGGTTACCAGAGTAATTACCTTCATGTAATGGTAATTTCTTTCTAACTGGAGGGTAAAGGCATTGATGCTGTGGAGATACAAGAGAATGGTTCTGGAGATCCTGCACCTATTAATGACTTGAAAGGGATGAGCGTTATTTCATGTTTATGGATTTATCCTGATGGCTGAAGCTTTCTGTTTATGTCTGTAGTTCTGTCAACAGTTTCTTCCCTTCCCTCTTGGTCTCCATATTTTAGCTATTCCAAATCTAAGGCAGAAATGCTCTCCAGCGTTACTGAACTAGGGTTATAAAGTTTTGTGGAACACCCAACAACTGGAATATAAACTGAAAAATCAAGGAATAACTTGAGGAAGCAGTTAGTTAGATGTTTGTACTCAGCCTCATGCTTGTGTTGTGCCTTTACAAAACATATCAAAATAATGATACAGGTATGTAGAAAAACTATACTTTTGCCACAGAAATTAAGTGCTACTCAGAAATAATTCATAGTACATCTTTATGGATGCAAATAAATGTTAATTTCCCTTCTTTATGCATTCAATGAATGTTAATTTCCCTTGAGAAAGCAAGGCCAATGGAACTAAGAGTCAAACATGAAGTTGTGGAGTGTTTTTGTGATGCCAAATGCATGTAGCATATACTTTTTTTCAGTTTAATAAACCAATGCAGAAGGTAAACACTATGTTTTGGTGCCTTTCCTCCTACATATGGAAAGATTTATATAAAAAGAACTTGTACATTATATATCTTGATGTAATAAACATATGTTCTGAAGCAGAAGTTACAAATGGTGATATAGTTGTTAACAAGTTAGTAAAGAGACTTGACTGTTTGAGATTTTAGTATAGGATTTTGTTGCTTGTTTTATTACAAAATGTGTCTTGCCTATAAAGTAACTGAGCATGAAGAGGGGCTTGAGCAGCCTAGAAAGATCTGTCCCCTTCCCTGGGGGCTATATTAGACCTCTGAGTCATGAAGTCTTTGCATAGTAGGTGTCTGGTTACAAACCTTTTATGGGCCCTGCTCAGCTGGGATATCAGCATCTGCATTATAGCCCTCATCTATTCTTAGGTGATATCAGAGCACGACTGAACAGGCAAGGCAGAAAGAGAATTGCTTTCTTTATATAAAACTCTTCACTCTTCTCATTCTGTTTTTTTCTTTTTTTTTTTTTCCACGCTTTCTCTGTCTACCTCATCCTTCTGTTCTGCAGTGCCTTGTTGTTGCCTTGTGAAAGAGGTACAGGATGGCTTACAGCGTGACTCTGAATGGACCTGGACCATGGGGTTTCCGACTGCAAGGAGGCAAGGACTTCAACATGCCCTTGACCATCTCCAGAGTAAGTGAGCAAAAAAAACCTCGTTGAGCTTGTTTAGGTTGGAAAATAGCAGTAAGCTACTCCTATCTGTGCTCTGGCCTGGCCTTGCAAAATAGAGGATCTTTGCAGCTAAGTCTGAATATAACGTGGACTTTAAATATACCAGTTCAAGATACAACCTGGCATTGGTGATGCTGCAGGAAGACAGTCATGATTAGTATATTTTACCAAATGACCATACTGTCTATTTTAAATAAGCTTAGAATTTTATTTTGTCTAGTATTGTCTCATTTTCTGCTGATAGGGACCTCACTGGTGCTGTCTATTCAGAGGGAAGGGAATAGAATAACTATGAGTGGGAATATAAAATTATATTTCCAGAAAATAAATATGTAACTGCTTGTAAATAAATGAAGTCTAACTGTTAAAACTGGACAATGATAGGGATACATGTCCCATTTTTTAGGGGGAAGCCATAATTGGATGAAAATTAGACATGTCAAGCTAAAGACGCAATAGTCCTTAAAAGACCATCTTAAATGATGCAGAAGCCTTCCATTCACAGTTGACAAAGAGCATGTGATTTAATAATTAACTACCTGGTGTATCAGTCAATTACAGATTAGGCTATCTATTTCCTAGCTAGATGGCTGGCTTGGTGTGGTTTTTTTGTTTGCCTTTTTTTTCCTGAGAAAATTTTAAGGTGTTATGGTGAAGTACTCTTATTACTTGAATTGGCTCAGTTTCTTTGAAGTTTTTAACAGCGGGTAGTTTTCAGGAAGTTTGTTTCCCTTACCTACCTTTCTCTTGCCAAACTAGGTAGTTTCTACTACCTCTGGCAGCTTCCTCCTCCCCCCTCTTTTTTTTTTCCTCCTCTCTGTAACAGTCTCGAATCTGTTCCAGAATGTTCAGGTCTTTTTAGGGACATCTTGGTTCCTCCACAAATCACCTGCAGTGCAATGACAAGAGAGGTTACTTACATAAGTCGTTAAAAGGAATACCAAAATGATATGGTCAGACAAACAAATAGAATGCAAACAAAAGGTCTGCTCCACTGCAAAAAAAAAAAAAGCCACCTACACTACTTTGAGAACTGTTTTTTCATAGTGAAAAAATACAGTCTGTTTAGTAGTGAGTACCAAATTGATATTCTTGCAACAATCATGATTCAAAGTCATCAGTGAGCTTCTGAAACCTTAATTATGCTATTTCATATTCATACTGTAAAGTTCTTTATTATTTGATCTTTTTTATTCTTATGCAAGATATTCCTTTCTCTGAAGAGAGAGCTGCATTTACCTTGATAATAACTCCTATCATGATGAGAGCAGCTTTTCATAACCCCTTTTGCAGAAGCAGCATAGGAATTGAAAGAAGGCTGTTCTGTCAGTGTTAATGAAAACAAACAAGCTAAAAATCACTAAAAAAACCTGCCCATAAAAGTAAGTTCAATTTATAATCTAATACTAATTTCACTATGGTAAGTACTTCTGGTATTTTCTTTCCTTATCTTACCCCAGTTAAGTATGGAGAGGTGCCAACATATTTCTGTAGGCATTTTTAGGACTCTTTGCAGCCTGCACTGTATTGTGTTGCTTTAGTATATAATTCAGTCCTACCTGGAGGCTGTCAGTCAGGGGCTGGGGCTGTGACACAATCAGCAATGAAAACCCAGTTGTTTCCCAAAGAACCCTTTGTCTCAGATTATCATCTCTGAAAGGATGTTCCCTGTGCCCAAGGGCTGTGGGATTCTCACAGGGCTTTTGAAAGCATGTGGGGAGAACTTGCAGTGGCTGGATCCAGAGGTGTGGAGGAATAACCTCTCCACACAGCTGGCTGCATTTCCAGTACGAGAAGTGTCAGAAAGCACTGT